CTCATTGATGTGGCAAGGCAACCTGGTCAGCGAGCTAAGGGAGCCTTCTGTCCCTTCCTCCCAGCACTAAGGGTTACAGTGACGTGTTTGTTTGGAGACAGGGTTTCTCTGTCCCCAAAACAAAATCAAACAAACACTAATGGGACTAGAGAGATGGCTCAGTGGTTAAGAGCACTTACTGCTCTTACAGAAGATCTGAGTTCTCTTCCCAGCACCCATGCCTGGTGGCCTGCAACCACCTCCAGCTCCAGAGAACCCAATGCAACCCACTGTCCTACCTGACTTATACTTACATGTACAAACCCACACTCAGATACACACATATACACTCATAATAAATGATAAAAATAGCCTGGGTTTGGTAGCATATACCTTTAATCCCAATACTCAGGAGGCAGAGGCTGGTAGATCCTTGTGAGGTCTACAGAGAGAGTTCCAGGCCAGCTATAGTTACAGAGTTAGACCCTATATTTAAAACACAAAACAAGGGCTGGAGAGATGGCTCAGCAGTTAATAGCAATTACTGCTATTACAGTGGACCTGAGTTTGGATGCCAGCACCACCTGGCATCTCACAACAGTCTGCAACTGCAGGTTCGGGAGAGCTGACCTCTGCAGGCTCCTGCATAAACATGGTCCACATACACTCATGCCAACATACACATAAATAAAGCAAATAACAGGCAGCGGTGGCGCACGTCTTTAATCCCAGCACTTGGGAGGCAGAGGCAGGCGGATCTCTGTGAGTTTGAGGACAGCCTGATCTACAGAGTGAGATCCAGGACAGGCACCAAAACAACACAGAGAAACCCTGTCTCAAAAAACCAAAACAAAACAAAACAAAGTCTGTAAACATATAACATATTTAAGTTGGGTTGGGAATTTAGCTCAGTGGTAGAGTGCTTGCCTAGCAAGCGCAAGACCCTAGGTTCAGTCCTCAGCTCCAGAAAAATAAAATAAAATAAAGCAAATGACTTTTTAAATCTTAAAACAAAAACTCTTAACCAAATAAATAACAAGGGCCTACAGAGCTAGGAATGGTAGCTGCTACCTGAGACTCCCCAGTACTCAAGAGGGATGAGACAGCATGATTCCAAGTTTACCTTAGGCCTGGGCTACAAATGGAGGTCAAGGCCAGCTCAAGCAACTTAGTAAGACTAGGTCTCAAAATCAATGTCAAAAGGGCGAGGGATATGGCATTGTGATAGACCACTTGCCCAGCATTCACAAGGCCCCAAGTTCAACCCCAGCCCTGAGAAGAATGAAAGAGATCTGCCCCAGCTAGACCAGTCCAGCCCTTTCCCATGAGACTCTCGTAGTTTCACAGCCTCGTCTTTTCCCACAGCTATACAGCTAGTCACAGATGATCATCCTTCCATTCCCCACATGACCTCGCACAATGCTTCTGATACAATAGCTCAGAAATTACTTGACCAAGACAAGAACATTTCTATCTCCTTGGGAAAAGTTATAGTAGACGTCACATTCATACTGCCAATGGAAGTCAAAAGTCCGAGTGCAGTGGCCTGAGAAACTCAGAACCTTCTAGACTGGGAAGTTCAGCTCTCTGTAGGTCCTGAAACATCTCAATTTGAGCTGGCTGACTTTAGAGAGGAACCACAGTTCTGCTTATCATGAGAGAGGTGTTTTTGGCTCTAAGAACTAAAGTTTGGGGCTGCAGATACAGCTTGGCTAGCATGGTCCTATGTTCAAGCCCCAGTGACACAAGGGGAAACACATAAACACACAAGCCAAACCACCCTTTATAATTCACCAAAGGCTTGTGGACAACAAGATTAGCGTAGGAGTAACAAGAATTTCTCTTTATTTCTTTCTTTCAAAAGAGTCTTGCTATATATCCCAGGCAAGCTTCTAACTCATGATCCCCCTGCCTCAGTCTACCAGTGATAGGAATACAAGCATGCACCGTTATCCTTAAATAGCACTGTTTATTGAGCAGCTGCTATATACAAATTAATCCTCCCAGTACATTTATTTTTAACTTATTAATTCTTTGAGAACTTTGTACAATGTGTTGTAATCATATTCACCTCTCCTCTTACAATAAAATCTCAAAACAATGAAGGGGCCAGCAAGACGGCTCATCAAGTAAAGTGCTGGCCACGCAGTCTCTTTACCCCAAATCTTCGGTATTACAGCCGGCCCCAAGAGTGACTCCAGAAACATAGGGAGCAGGCTGAATCAGGTCAGCAAGAATGCGTGCTTTCAGGTCTCAATATGAGGCCAGGGCAAAAAAAAAAAAAAAAAATATATATATGCAAATCACTGAGGGTAAGTATCGTAGATAAGTGCTGAGTGATTTCATAGTACAAAGCAGGGATCACCCTACCCATTTTACACAAAAAGAAACCAGAGTCACCAAGAATCATCCAGGATTGCCAAATTTAGAAGCAGCAGGCTGCCTCTAACCCCTCCCCCATCCCTTTGTGACCTCCGGTTGTTCGCCACACAAAAAATCCTACCACCAACTGACTCTGTTCCTTTCTCAGCCTCAGTGTCTTCCTTCCTCAGGAAAACATGGTCTCCTAAAAGATGATCTTGTGCAGGGCAGATGGTGGCACACGCCTTTAACCCCAGCACTCGGAGGCAGATCTCTGTGAGTTCAAGGCCAGCCTGGTCTACAAAGCTAGTTCCAGGGCAGCCAGGGCTACACAGAAAAACCCTGTCCTGGGGGGAGGACGGGGGAATCTGTGGGCTGGCCATGGCTTGGTTAAGAGAACACACTGTTCTTGCAGAAGACCCAAGCTTGGTTCCCAGCACCCACATCAGTAGCTCACAACAGCCTGGAACTCCAGTTCCAAGAGATTGAACTCCTTTTTCTGATCTCAGTGGGCACCTGCATTCATGTGCACATTCTCATTCTCTCTCTCCCCTTTACACACACATAAATAAAAGTAAAATTTCTTTTTTTTTTTTTGGTTTTTCGAGACAGGGTTTCTCTGTGTAGCTTTGCACCTTTCCTGGAACTCGCTTTGGAGACCAGGCTGGCCTTGAACTCACAGAGATACGCCTGGCTCTGCCTCCCGAGTGCTGGGATTAAAGGCATGCGCCACCACCACCCGGCTAAGTAAAATTTCTTTAAAGAAAAAACTAGATGATCTTGGGCCAGTGAAATGTAAAGGCACCTGCTGCCAAGACTGACAACCTGGGTTAGATGCCTGGGAGCCACATGATGATCTCCACACATGCCACAGTACGGACATGCACACACATGTGCACACACACAAGTGTTCAGTTGCACGTGCACACAAAATAAATTTTAAATTATGTTATACGTGGGTGTTTTGCCTGCATGTGTCTATGGGCCACTTGCACACCTGGCACCTGTGAAGATCCCTTGGAGGTGGAGTTACAGACAGCTGTTAAGTGGTCACGTGTGTGAACTGTGAATCAACCCGGGTACTCAGAAAGAGCAACCAGTGCTAACCCATCATCTCTCTAGCCCCTAAAATAATTTTGTTTGTTTGTTTGTTTTATGAGACATGGTCTCTCTGTGTAGTCCTAACTGTCCTGGGTCCTGGAGCTGGATCTGCAGACCAGGCTGACCTCCAACTCAGAGATCGGCCTGCCTCTGCCACCCAAGTGCTGGGGTTAAAGGTGTGCGCCATCACCATCCGGCTCAAAGTAATATTTTAAATTAAATTAAAAATAATGTTTTCCTTGATATTCTTTCAGCTCTCGCCATGACAGAAACTGCTTGAGGCATAGGCTTGGGCAATGGGTAACACAAGCATGGCTTCTTTATCCTCAACAATCCAATGAAGTCTAGAAATATTATGGTTTAATTGGTAGAAAGAGCACTAGCCTAGCATAACTGAGCTCCTGGATTCTTTTCCTAGCAACACAACGCAATCCTATCAGATACATCCTGTTTCCTCCTTCTGCCCAAGGTCATCCCTCCACAAAAGGCTGTTTACAAGGTACACTCCAGGCTCATTTCCTAATGTCAACGTCTCCCTCTTTATCCAGCATGGAGGTGAAGGGCACATGTCCAACTCAGATCTAATGGGACTACATGGCTTCACTCCTGGGCTGGGGCAGGAGGAGCGCAGATTCCTTTCCACAGGTGTGAGGACAGACAGGTGTTCTCACTTCTTTAGCAAATACTCTTTGCCATACCCTGTTCTCAAACCTGTGAGGCTGCGCAAACAGAAGAAGGACTAGGGAATGACAGGTCAGCACGGGGTCAGAAGGGCTCAGGGTGGTGAGTGCAGAGATGAGGATAGTGCAGGACACTGCGCGGTGGAGGGAGGAGCAGCCCAGAGCCAGTCAGGGGAAGCCAAGCCCTACGCAGCCAGAGCTGAGCCTCTCTCTCTCTCTCAGGCCACCAGCGGTGGTGCAAAGTGCAGGGTGCATCATGAGACCTGGGTCCTACATCCAGAGCAACCTCCGCATGGCTCGGAGACTGACCTTGAACAACTCTAACCCACTTCTGCTGACCCACTGTACAGTGCAGGGTGAGGAATCACTTTGGGAATTCCCACTGTACCTCAGTCCTCCTCTCCTTCCTCCTAGAACTTCCTGAGGGAGGAGCTGCCTGGCCCAGAAGCCCCCAGCGCGTGCTCAATCACAAAGGCCAGACTAGAGGGCTGCTACCACTGTCCTCTGCCTTCGTCCCCGCTCCAGTGCTCAAGACCTGTCCCTCCCACTCACCTCATTTTTTATTCTCAGCCCAGACTCAGGTCCCAAACAGGACAAAGAACCTGCCCAGCAAGGCATGGTAATGCACGCCAGTAATATCTAGGAGGCTGAGGCAAGAGGATTCCGAGTTCGAATCACATGTAGTGTGAACCTGTTTAAAAAACAAAACCCTACCCATATCTTTCCACCTCCCTTATTCTTTCTCAGACTCTCCTAAGGCCTACATCCTGGCATCTCCGCCTCTAACCCCCGAATTCCAAACCCAAGAGTCTGCTCTTCATTCCAGCCCCCTCCCCTGCCCCTGTTCCGGGCACGCGGTCAGCCCCGTCGGCCTCTCACCGCACAGCAGCCGCAGCGGCGAGGTCCCCAGCGCGGGGTCCCGGCTTCCCCAGCAGCCGCCGTGCCGCTGCAGAGATGATGCACAACCGCGGAGCCATGTTGGACCAGAGCAGGTCGGAGGAAGGCCACGCCCCAGCCCGGTGGAGGGGGCGGGGCTAGATAAAGCCACACCTTCGCCTCGCCAGCCTCCCTTTCAAGCACAGTCCTCCAAATCGACACGCGAACAATCCCAATCCGTATCCGCACCCCTGAGCTCCTGGAGCTCTGCAGCTAACTGCATCTGTTCCCTTGAACAACCCATTCCCCACTCTATACCTCAGAATTCACCTCGGTAAATGCGGCGTCAAATTCGGAGAACAAAGTAAAGAGGGTCTGCATACCCCCAAAATTGTATACAAATTATGTGTGCCTGTCAGTTCTCTTGCTACTAGGATGCTGGGGTGGAACCCAGGAGTTCACCCGTGGCTGGGCAAGTGCTCTGCCTACACTTGTTCTTCTGGGTCAAGGCATCAACAGACAGTGTTTATCTCATCAAAAGAACAAATTCTCTCCAACACTTCTTTTTAACTTTTAAAAAGATTTATTTCGTTTTTAATCGTGTGTGTGTGTGTGTGTGTGTGTGTGTGTGTGTTGGTGAGGCCTCTGATATCCTGCAGCTGGAGTTTTAAAGGAGCTTTGGAGCCATCCTAATAGGTGTTGGGATCCAAACTCAGGTTTTCTCTAAGAGCAGTGTGAACTTTTTAACAGCTAAACCTTCTCTTCAGCAATTAAGACTGGTGGGCAAGGCTCTGAGCAAGCAGAGTGCTCTGTCTCCAGAGCTCGGGTGTGATGGTTTACACATGTAATCCCAGCATTTAAGAGGCTGAGAGAAGAGAGTCGATGCTACGTAATTTTAGGGAAAAAAAAAAAAAAGCTTTCTCTCCACCATCTTGCCACCTGGGGCCCCTATATTTGATTTCTCAGCCCACACAGAGATGGAAGGCCTGTGGGACCCAACCAAAAGAATGCCAACCCACTGACTGGTAATTCCCACTCTGTGTGCCTGGGGTCAGGGACTTGAAGAGGACACAACTAACTTCCTGACTCCTTCAGACTGTGAGTCTGGCCAGGTAGATCCCGTCTAAGCTCTTGAAACACCAAAGGTCCCAGCACTCGGGAGGCAGAGGCAGGTGGATCTCTGAGCTCGAGGCCAGCCTGGGCTACAGAGTGAGTTCCAGGTCAGCCAGGACTGTTACACTGAGAAACCCTGTCATGGAAAAAAGAAAAGAAACAACCAAAGGTCAGCTGAACAAGCCCTATCTGTACCAATTGGTAGCCAATGCCTGGTATAGCAGACAAACAGCCAATGACTGCTGACTGAAACCTCCAGAGCAGAGGTGTTGGCCCACCCCCACCCCTCCCTCAGCTAGGCTAGCTGGCAAGTGAGCCCCAAGGACCCTCTTGTCTATGTTTCCCCAGCACTAGGGTTACAAACCACCTCCCCGCCTCTGATGTGCATGGAATCAAACAAGGGTCTTTGGGCTTATACTGCCTGAGCTACCTCCAACCCAAGAATTTAGATTTAAACTATGTGCTGGTTTGAGTGAAAATGACCATCATAAGCTCATATGTTTGAATACTTGGTCTCCAGTTGGTGGAACTATGTGGGAAGGACAAGGAGGTGTGGCCTTGTTGGAGGAGGTGTGTTACTGGGGGCAGGTTTTGAGGTTTCAAAAGCTCATAGCCATTCCCATGTTATCTCTCTCTACTTCTGCTTGTGGGTCAGTATGTGAGCTCTCAGCTACTGTTCTAGCTCCATGCCTGCCTTGACTGCTGCCATGCTCCGCACCATGATGGTAACGGACTCCAACCCTCCGGAACCTATGTAAGCCCACAATAAACTCAAAGTTGCCTTAATCATGAGTCTTACTGCAGCAATAGAAAAGTAACCAAGACAAACTGTGATTCCTTTTCCCCCTTGAGTTTTTTTTTTTTTTTTGAACTTAAAAAAGAAAATTATTTAGCCAAGAGGTTGATGGCACACTGCTGTAATCCCAGCATTCAAGAAGCAGAGGCAGGAGGGTCTCTATGAATTCGAGGCCAGCCTGGTCTACAAATCGAGTTCCAGGACAGCCAGGGCTCTTACACAGAGAAATCCTGTCTCAAAAACAAAACCAAAACAACAACAAAAAAATCTATTAAAGTTTATGTGTGTGTATGTGCCTGAATATGTACACCAAATGTGTGCAGTGCCTAAGAAAGTGAGAAGAGGCATCAGGTCCCCTGGAACTGGAGTTACAGGTTATGAGCCACAGTGAGGGTGCTGGGAGTCAACTCAGGTCTTCTGCAAGGGCAACCAGTGCATGTAATGCTGAAGGATCTCTCCAAGCCTCCCCTTGAGTTATCTTAAGATGCTACAATGAACACAACTTATTTTGTGTGATTTGTTTACAAAGGAAACTGTGTATCAATATTATAAACAGAAGTTAGTTGCCAGCAGGTAGAACCCTCAAAATAAATGCCGTGAAGATCAGTATTGAGGACTATAGCTAAGACAGCAAGCTGCTGGGCTGGAGAGATGACTCAGGGGTTAAAAGCACTGACTGCTCTTCCAAAGATCCTGAGTTCAGTTCCCAACAACCACATGGTCACTCACAACCATCTATAATGAGGATCTGGTGCCCTCTTCTGGCATGCAGGCATACATGCAGGCAAAACACTGTATACATAATGAATGAATGAATGAATAAATAAATAAGTAAATAAATAAATAAATAAATAAATAAATAAATAAATAAATAAATAAATAAATAAATAAATAAATAAATAAATAAATAAATAAATAAAAGCAGGCTACCAGCCTGCAGCTCCTGCTCTGTGTAAGCAACGAGAAGCACACAAAGGATGTCAGAGATGGGCTGGACCTGGAGAGAGAGTGGTCTTCTCATTTTAGAAGTCAGTGTGATTGCCACAGTGTCCCCAGGCAACTGCCACTCAGGAAAAACCCAGATGGTTAAAAGGAGACATTGCTGTTGTCATGTGGTGGGATGTGCTTTTCCTTTAAGAATCAAGAGTCTGGAGAGATGGCTCAGCTCTTGTAGAGAGCCTAGGATCCAGTTTCCAGCACCTACATCTGGCGCCTCACAATGTTGTCACTCCAATTCCAGGGAATCTGACCTCTTCTGACCTCCATGAACACTTGTATACATGTGATGAACTAAACTCATGCAGGTATACCCACACACAAAAATAAATAAAATAAATCTCCCTCTCTTTCTCTCTCTCTCTCTCTCTCTCTGAGAGAGTTTTACTGTGTAGCCCTAGCTATAGAGACCAGGCTGGCTTTGAACTTATAAATGTACTTACCTCTGCCTTCCAGGTGCTGGGATTAAAGACATGTGCCACCATGCCCAGCTTTGCCCTCTTTAAAAAAAAAAAAATCCTTTCTTTCTTTGAGACAATATCTCACTATGTTGCCCTGGCTGGCTTTGAATTTGCCATTCTTTTGCTTACACCTTAAAATACCTGAATTACAGGCCTACCCCACTAACTCAGTTGTCAGGTTTAGATTACTCACACCTGTGACACAGTGAAATCTATAGAAATAATCGCTATGCTATATTGGGAACAATGGCAAGAATAAAGTCTGTACATGTTCGGTACATGTGTGTTTTTCCCCAAATGTTTCTAACCCACAATTAGTTGAGTGCACCACTGCAGAACCCATGAATACAAAGGGCTGAATATGAAGGAACTTCCAGAACAAAAGTGCAATCCAATCACAAAGTAATTAAAGGGTGGAGATCGCCAGCAACATTGTTTCACTAATTACAAGGGATCATCTTTTAATAAAAAATTGAAAGCCAGGCAGTGGTGGTGCACGCCTTTAATCCCAGCACTTGGAAGGCAGATACAGGTGGATCTCTGTGAGTTCGAGGCCAACCTGGTCTACAGAGTGAGATCCAGGACAGGCACCAACAAAACAGAGAAACCCTGTCTTGAACAACAAAAAAAAACAAAAACAAAATCGAAATGGGTAGTCTTGATGACCTTGACCTTTTGACCATGTAACCAATAGAGGCTCTTGAGAATCAAGCCACAAGAATAAGATGCATGGACAGGAGTTTCTGGCTCTGCCAGCCCTAATGTAACAATGTCACTCAACTCCAGGATTTCATATTGTTTTATGAGACAAGATCTCACTCTGTAGCCCAGACGATATGGAAGTCACTCTGAAGCCCAGGCTGGCCTTGGACTCGGCAATCTTCTTGCCTCCCCCTCCCAAGTACTGATATCATAGCATGAACCACCATACTTGGCATGAAGCCTGGAGCTTCTGAATGCCTCATTCGTATGCTGAGGTGGGTGAGAAGAAGGAAAGGAAAGAGAAATGGTGCTGCAAGGCACAGGAAAACATAATGGAATTCAGCTACTATCACAAAAGCTACTACTTGGAAAGGTTAAGGATTTTTCCAAAGGTCAAGCCATGACCAAGAAGTCTTGGTGACATTTCAGCTTTTGTATATATATTAGCCAATTCCTGTAATGATATTATTGCATGCTATGTATGCTTCCAAGAACTCATAACAGTGTGTTTTATCTGAAATAGCTATCAAGCATCTAAGGCCAAACGATCTCCTGAATTAAGGCAAATTAAGCTCAGACCCTTTCTTATACAGCCTTAGTGGTATTTATACTAACATTATAGACTCCTAACATTTACCTAATCACCTCTAGGAATGTAGTGTGAGCACATAAATTCCCTTTTTCTGATATATTAGTAACTGATATTAGCTCTCAGTTGACCTCCTTCTTTACCACTCCCCTTTTGGGTTGTAAAAGAAAGCCTGATGGTCAGTGCCTGAGGAAAACTCTTGTCTGTCTTTATGACCCTGTAAGAATTCAAGCCTGGTGACCTTGCTCTAGCTAGAGCACTGATATTGCATGGGTATAGAACTGTAAACCTCAGAGACTGAGGAGGATTTTGACTGGAGAACTAGATGGAGAACTAGAAGAATGAGATGGAAGATGAGGAAGAGCCAGATGGGGAAGAACTAGGTGGGTAAGAATGAGATGAGAAAGACCAAGATGGAGCAGAACTAAGATGAGAGAATTAAGATAGAACTTAGAGCAGATAAATGTAGAGAGAAGTCAGAAAAGAAAGGAGCTAGGCATGA